AACAGGTGCCTTACTAGTAGTAACAAGAAGCTACTAGGAACAAGTGCCAACACCAATCCCGTGGCTGTCGCTCAAGAGACATCCGACAGTTCCGCAGACTTGTCCAACGGTCCACGCCAGGTGCGGCTTCCAACGTCGCTCCGGATGCCGGTCCATGGTGTTGAAATATTGGAAGCCAGGCGCAGTGGCCAAGCCACTGATGGCCTCACAAGTTGACAAAAAAGGATCAAACTCGTGTTGTCTGCAAGACAGTCTGCATATTGATGTCCAATTGATTCTATTGGCTTAAGCCACAACTGTATGTATGTAATAGAAGAAACACAACTGGCTGAGAAGCTCACTCCCACGAAGCACAAGAAGAACTCGGAAAACTGGAAATAGCTCACCAACATGATCCCCGCGGTGGAACTCAAATTGGCCACCACATGGGTGGCCACAGTGGCTGCTTCTCCCGTCAAGCTGTAGCACCACATCTCCGTGCACACGATCTGTCCTGCGAAGCGCCAAGTGAGGCGCACGAAGAGAGACCCTCCAGGAAGGAAACCTAGGGGGCAAGGACGCTACTAGGGGCTCCTGGCCTTACTACTAGGAGCAAGGACGCTTCTAGGGCTGGCCTTACTACTAGGAGCAAGAACGCTACCAATACGAATGGCCTCCAACCTAGTAGCAATGACCTCCAACCTAAGAGTAGGTGAGGCCTGTTTGTTAGGGGGTGGCCTTCTGAGATTCACACAAGCATGTTCTTTTCAGGGAGATGTCCTGACACCCTGGCAGCTTGAAATTCAAACCTTGTCAATTATATATGGCCTCTTTTGATCTCTTTTGTGTATCTGTCCATACGCCATACTGGACGTTCCTTCATGAGTTTATTGCAAAACCAATCCGGGCTTCACGGGCCCCAACCTGTGAGCGACCAGCTCAAAGATGAAAGTAGGTTCCGAGCCCATGGCACTTTCCCAACGGTCGCATCTTGCTCAAAAGCTATCGACAAGTAGAGCTTCGAGACCTGCAAGCTGAAGTGGCCAAGGTGTCCTGAAACTTTCTTTCTTCGTTTCTGGTCAAATACTCGTAATATCTTGTTATCACCCAGACAAAAGCCAGACATCAGGATAAGTAGAGGAATCTGCATGTTTATTCGTAGTATCGGACGGCACCTGCCATACCAGCTGTATCAGCATCGCTAGGCGGACGAAGCGCCATGAAAAGCCTCAGAAAGACATTTTAGTGAGCCAAACCGGTGTCTGGAGTCTCCCTGGAGAGTTCGTCCAACCTACTAGCAATGCCCTCCAACCTAATAGCGATCGCCTCCAACCTAGCAGAGAAATGTCTAAATGAATCTCAACCCACATTTCATATCGCGACTCGTCTACCCATCCGCCAGATGATCCGCTTGTCGCGACTGCTGCTTGGCAACTGCCGAACGCGTTGATCTCGGTGTTTCGAACCTCAACCGCCAGGTTCTTGGCTGTGTCTTCGTCCACATCCAACACGACCTCTCCAGACAGGAGCAAAGGGCATCGCTAGTAGGAGCAAGGACGCTACTAGGGGCTCTTGGCATCGCTAGTAGTAACAAGAAGCTACTAGTAGCTCCTGGCCATACTACTAGGAGCAAAGGAAGCTACGAACGGAACAAAGGCACCCACCTCTCCAGACATGCTCACGAGGACGTTCCCCTCCGCGTCGGACAAAGACACATGCCTCTTCTTCCCATCCACGCCCGCATTGATGCTGAGACGATGACCCTCTTCAAGTTCAACGCCATCTGGGCCTAAAGTACTCGGGGCAAACAAAGCTCTCGCAATGAAGCTTCGCTACTCACGTTTGGTGCGACCTGAAATCCTCATCCGCAAGATTCTGTGGGCGTGTTGTATGCTTTCCCACTGTCTCGAGGAAGACTGATATCAAAACGTTCAGTCTTCGCTCAAAGGGCAAGGTGGCAAGGAAGTGATGTCGAAGTCCTCACAAAATCTGTCAAACCTGCGAAGCCATCCATGGCCATGCGGCCATGCCATCTTCCCCCTAGATCAATGGCTATGCGGCTAAAAAAACAACTGTCTCATTTTGTCAGAGTGGCCGTTCTTGGTCCAAAAGGTTCGACGTCTTCCCTGCAATCTCTGCGCGAAGTTGGAGACCTGCATCTTCGAAGAGGGTGGCTGCCAGGTAAAGTAGTCGAAGCTGCTGCCGTCCTGCGGCGGTGCTCTTGGAGCGACGGAAGCTCCAAAAGCACGGCCCAACCACACCTATTTTCATCCTTTCTCTTTCCAGGAGCGCCCCTAGTAGCGTCCTTGCTCCTAGTAGCGATGGCCTCCACCTAATAGCCACCTTGCTACTAGTAGCTTCCTTTGCTCCTAGTATGGCCAGGAGGCCCTAATAGTCTCCTTCCTTTTCCACCTCATTTCGGCCACAAGAACTGGTCGACGGCACTGCGACCGTCGATCGTCCTCGATGGAATGCTGCGAGATTCTTGGATCGCCCGGCCCTTGGGTCTGAAAATGCGCCAAGCGCCCCCCAGCAGCCAAGCGCCGCTTGGCCAGGATTTCATCCGCCGCACCACCATCACCAATGATGATGAGGCAGTGATCCTACTGCGTTATGCAAGCTGGAAAGGCACCTCTCAGTGTAATGTCAATAGTATATTTCAGCTTCAAACAAATTGGCAATTGTTATAAGGAGGACCCAAACTGTAGCCTTTTCTGCTTAGAAATAGTAACAAGAAGCTATTAGGTTGGAGGCCATCGCTAGTAACTTGGAGGCCAGTACTACTAATTCACATAAGGTTGAAGGCTAGTAGGTTGGATTCTCGACCTCCCACACGGTGGACCTGTCCTTGAACCTCTGAGCGCTCAAGGCCATGGCTCGCCGTCGCGTCGCTTCGGCTTCGGTCGCCCCGGCTGCAAGCGGAGCAAGCAGAGTGGGGCCGAGACTAGTAGCTTCTTGTTCCTAGTAGTAAGGCCAGGAGCCCCTAGTAGCATCCTTGGCCATCTGGTAGGAGCCTTTTGACGTTTTTTCCAGTAGCCTGGAAGGCATTCAAACACCCAGGGTATGTCCTTTTCCATAAAGGAGCTCCTAGTAGCTTCTTGTTACTACTAGCTTCTTGTTCCTAATAGCTTCTTGTTACTACTAGTAAGGCACTTGTTACTACTAGCGATGCACTTGTTACTACCAGCTTCTTGTTCCTAATAGCTTCTTGTTAATACTAGTAAGGCACTTGTTACTACTAGCGATGCACTTGTTACTACTA